CACACACACACACACACACACACACACAGGGAATGGTCACACTTCAGCCATCTCTCCTCTATTCTCATCTCAGGATTTGGGGCATGCATGTGCAAACAAGTACAGGGTGTGTTTTTCAAGCCACCAGGTCTGGGATGTGAACCACAGTGTCTGCGTGGATCCAGCCACCTTCACCACCACACACTGGCTGGCCTGGGTTTGGTTTTGTTTTTAAGATGTATTTTTTTTTATTATTTATCGCCAGAAAGTGTGTGCACTTGCAAGGAAGGAAAAAGCACCTCCCAAGGGAGGCATGGCCATGCTGCAATCCCTTCTCCTCCATTTCTCCATTTCTTCAGGGTCCTGGGCACTCATGCACATTTATTCCATGTGTCCTTCAAGTCACCAGGGCCTGGACTCAAACCAGAGTTGGCCGTGTGGTTTCTGGCTCTCCACACACACACTTAACCACTGAGCTATGAGTCCCGCCCATCCTCCTTTCCTGTGGATGGTCCCAGTCCTACCCTCAGGGAGCTCGAGTCTGGCAGGGGTTCTCACCACTCAGCCATCCATGCTGCCCTGGGCAGCTGTCCGGAGTAGGTAGGAGCCCAGTGAAGCCCCTGCCTGATCTGAGAGGCTCAGGGAAAGTTCTGGGAGGAGGTGAGATCTGAGACTGGATGTGAAGGACGAGAGAGAGAGGGCTGGGGAAAGCGCCTGTGCAGAGGCCCAGGGGTTGAGGACTCAGGCACGGGTACCAGAACACGGGATAGGGGACTGGGGGGGGTGGTCAGAAGAGGTCAAGCATGGGCCTTTGAATGCCCAGCTAAAGGGTTCACACTTAATCAGACAGGGGCAAGGCGGAGTTGAGGCAGCATCACAGTGAGAGCTGTGTTTGAGAAAGGACCCCCAGCTGCTGGGTAGAGTGGAAGCAGGAGACTCCCGAGAAGTCTAGAGACAGGGAGGAGAACAGATGAGGCCTGAACTAGCACTCAGGCAGAGGATGGCACTAGGAAGTATGTGGGTGTGGTTAGGGGACCACGCTGGCCGGGTCGGGCACCACTGCTGGGGCGGTCATGCAGGCTCTCACTGACTTCTGGGCTCACGTGACCACATAGGTGGCGGTGCCTCTGATGAGATGCAGAGCGTGGGCTGAGAGACTCTGGTGGCCTTGTGTCTGCCCCTGTGGGAGTTCCAGGGTGACTGTCCTCTCTTTCCTCAGACCGGATCCCCCAGATCCTCAGTATGGCCTCAGAACTGGAGTTCAACTTAGAGACAACGCCCCGGATCAACTGCGCAGCCACAGGCAATCCCTTCCCGCCAGTGCGGGGCAGCATGGAGCTCCACAAGCCGGACGGCACCGTGCTTCTGGTCAGCCCCATGGCCCCTGCCCAGCATCCCTGGCCCTTGGACCTCCAACCTCTCAGAACTTCCTGCAGGCCTCACCCACTGGCCCTGCCATGGCTCGAATGGGTAGACTGCCTGGAGAGGGGCCGCGCCGGGCCTCTGTGCCGTCAGCAGTCAGACAGACACGTGTGTATCTGCCTGGGAGGTGCACATACCCCAGCCGGCCCTCTTCCCTGTCTCTCGTAGTCCACCAAAGCCATCGTGGAGCCAGACAGGACCACAGCTGAGTTTGAGGTGCCACGCTTGACTCTTAGGGACAGCGGGTTCTGGGAGTGCCGCGTGTCCACGTCCAGTGGCCACGACAGCCGAAGCTTCAAGGTTAATGTCAAAGGTCAGTGAAGTCCTGGGGGCTGGGAGAATGGACAGTGAGTAGAGTGGTCCCTGTCTGATTGGGATCCTCACAAGAAGGTCAAGGTCTTCGAAGGTCACAGCCCAGCACCAAGCAAAGAAGAGGTCTTATGGTCAGCCAGAGATCTAGGCTAGGCCACGTCTCTTAGTCCAGCTTAGTCCCATGTGCCAAGAACATCCCATGCCCAGAAACTGGGGGCACCCTCCAGCCCTGCTCTCACTCCTGCTTGCCGATACTTCCTCCTATAGCCACACACACCCAAGCGTGCCTGACCTCTGCTTCTGGGGTGCTGCCTCCCAGTCTCTGAGCCAACCCAGACAGGCGGACACTCACTGATAGGACAAAGATGTATATGGGGCCATGGAGCTCAGTGCGTGACCTGCTCGGCCTCCCAGAGGAGCTGCAGTCCTCAAGGTTGCTCAGAGCAGAGCCCCCCTGGACCAGGCACCCCTTCTCCAGCACCAGGGGCTTCAGCCACTTGACCTCTGCCACACCCTCACCCACTCTTCCCTCACTCCTGGCCCCTTCTTCCTCCACATCAGCCCTCTCTCTTACTGTCCTCTTTCTCACTGTCACACTGGGCTTCCCAGTTCCTCGCCATCTGCCCCACCCACCGCTTCACATCCCCCTCTGCCTCCAGGCTCCCCCTCAGCCTTCCCCTCTCCCCAGGCTTTGGGCTCTGACAACCTGTGTTCAAATTCTCTCTCCACCAATTCCTAGCTCTGTGACCCGAGGCAAGGAATGTCACCTGTCTCAGTTGGTGTCTCGGGCTGTGAAATGGGCATGTGGGTGCTTACTGGGCAGGGCCGCTGTGAAGAGAGGGCTAGCTGGTGCACTTCAACCTCCAGTGCAATGCCCGACAGGCGGTGTACTCCATCTGTTGGCAGTGACTGTCACCATTACTTCAGACGTTTAGTCCCAAGATTGCAGCCATTTTCTGGCAACTGCCACACATGCTCTGTAGTCAGGCCCCGTCCTAACTCTAGACCCCTTAGGTGGGACGGCCATGAAGTGCCACCTCTTCTATGGAGGTATGAGGTCGGCGTGTGCATTACCAGCTGTACACTCAGGGGCCCACTTTATGTCCAGACACCTCCTGGATGTCAAATCCCCTGCATGAGCCACAGGCATCAGGGTTCCTCAGGACCCGAACTGGACCTGTGTCTTCCCCAAGTCAGCACCTCTTTCTGACATACTTACTGCTGCCCGACACTCCCTCACTCAACACCATGCATCCTCCTTGCCCCTTCCTTCCTTCTTTCCATTCTTCTTAGAAAGTCCATCTGGGGACCAGCAGATGACGTGATGTTTATGTCGTTGGATTCCCATGTAGTTGACCGTGGTTTGAGTCCAAGACCCAGCAGCTTAAAACTCATACCAGGTGCATGTGTGTGCATGCCCCAAATCCTGAGAGGAGAATGGAAGAGAAGGGATTGCGCCGTGGCCATCCCCCTAGGGGGGTGATATCTCGCTTTCTGTCTCTCTGTCTCTTTCTGTCTCTTTGGCAAGTATAGTCACCCTATAGCAAAAATATCTCTCTTAAAAGAAAGAAAGAAAGAAAGAAAGAAAGAAAGAAAGAAAGAAAGAAAGAAAGAAAGAAAGAAAGAAAGAAAGAAAGAAAGAAGTCCATCTGGAAGAGGCGAGGGAATTAATGAGGTATTAATACACTGTGGAGAGAAAAGCAGCAGTTAGAATAAGGACAGTGACCATGGAGTGAGGAAGCCAGGCAGGAATACGAAAGCTGTTTTGAGACAGACTCGATGGATTCAAAGTGGCCTGGTCAGGCAAACCCTGGCCGCATCTCCTCCTAGCTGTGTGTCCTAAAGCAGATTAGTCTGTCTCTGTGCCTGTTTCTCCCCTCATCCTGTGGGGCTCGTGGGCCCTGTCTACAAGGCAGTTGTGCAAATTAGGGGCCAGGCACATGCAGCGGCAGAGTGGAGTGGGTGCTTCATCCCTAGCACATGTTTAACTGAGAGAGGTGGGCGATGAGGGGAGGCCAAGTTGCCGCCCTGCCTTGGGCTCCAGCCCCTTCTGTCTACTGATCCCTGCATGGACAGAGCAGGCCCCTATCTGAGCAGTCACTACCTCCTTAACATCTTTTGGGACACCTTCATGTCCTCACTGAATCCCCATTTCCTGAGCTTCCCAGGTACCAGGCCACTCTGGTCGGCCATGGACCTTGGTCTCCCCCAGCCCAGAGGATCCCAGGTCCAAACAAAGACTGGAGCTGCTTTTGGTGCCCAAAGCATAGAGGCCTCTGCTTCCCCGAAGGCCTGGCCATGCCTTACCCCAGTCTTCTGGCAGTGCCCCCAGTGCCCCTGACGGCACCTCGGCTCCTGGCCAGACAGAGCCGCCAGCTCGTGGTTTCGCCACTGGTCTCGTTCTCCGGGGATGGACCCATCTCCTCTGTCCGCCTGCACTACCGGCCCCAGGGCAGCACCACGGCCTGGTCTGCCATTGTGGGTGAGTGAGGGCCAAGCTGTAGGGAACGGGGCTGGGGCAGGACAGGGCGGATGATGGACGGATGAGAGGGTGCAGAAGGGAGAAGGGTGGCCCAAGACGGGCTGGGACTCAACGGCATGTGCTGCCACCCGCCAGTGGACCCCAGTGAGAATGTGACGTTGATGAATCTGAGGCCAAAGACAGGATACAGTGTCCGCGTGCAGCTGAGCCGGCCCGGGGAAGGCGGAGAGGGCGCCTGGGGGCCTCCCACCCTCATGACCACAGACTGTCCTGGTGAGAGGCCAAAATTGCCCCTTCCTGTCCCCCAGGGGCTGTTGTCCTACCCTCCCAGAGGCCCCTGCCTTTCCCTTGGAGGTTGTCCCACCTGTCCCCTGGGGATGACTGCTCCATCCAGACCCAAGGGCCCACTGGACAGTTCTCACCCCGACCTCTGGCCCCAGAGCCCTCGCTGCAGCCCTGGCTGGAGGGCTGGCACGTGGAGGGCCCAGACCGGCTGCGCGTGAGCTGGTCCCTGCCCTCGCCGCCTGGGCCGCTGGTGGGCGACGGTTTCCTGCTGCGCCTGTGGGACGGGGCCCGGGGGCAGGAGCGGCGGGGGGGGGTCTCGTCCCCCCAGGCCCGCACCGCCCTGCTGACGGGACTCACGCCGGGTTCCCACTACCAACTGGATGTGCGACTCTACCACTGCGCCCTTCTGGGCCCCGCCTCGCCCCCCGCACGCGTGCTTCTGCCCCCCAGCGGTACGCCCAGGCTGGGGAGCAGGGGAGGACCTGGGACACAGAGACACGTGGGGGTCATGGGAGATGGCGGGGGTGTGGAGAGAACACAGGCCACACGTGGTGCCTGGCAACGTGCTCCAGGGAGGGCATGAGGCAGGGAAGACACGGGGAACCAGGAGGACAGGGCCCACCAGCTGTGCCAGGAGGACATGGGAGGACATGGTTCATGTGCAGAAGAAGGGTCAGGGGGCCGTGGGACCTGGGGTCATGGAGAACGAGGGGCAGTGTGGGGGCGAGGTGGCCGGAGATAGAGAGCAGCTGACTGGGTAGAGAAGGAGCGTGGCGGGGAGGCCTCATCCTGGGGTCCACAGGAGCAGGGGATCCAGGTAGGGAGGTGTGTCTGGCCTCACAGAGACATAGCCTTGTCCTGACTAAGCCCTGCCTTCTCACCCGTCTTCCAGGGCCTCCAGCCCCGCGGCACCTCCACGCCCAGGCCCTCTCTGACTCTGAGATCCAGCTGACCTGGCAGCGCCCAGAGGCTCCAGCTGGGCCTATATCCAAGTACGTCGTGGAGGTGCAGGTGGCCGGGGGCTCCGGAGACCCACTGTGGATGGACGTGGACAGGCCTGAGGAGACAAACACCGTCGTCCGTGGCCTCAATGCCAGCACGCGCTACCTCTTCCGTGTGCGGGCCAGCGTCCAGGGTCTCGGAGACTGGAGCAACACTGTAGAAGAGTCCACCCTGGGCAATGGTGAGCAGGCAGGGCCCTCAGCACTCCCAGGCCCGGGCTGGCTTCAGTGCCCTCTCCCTCCATGGCACCCCCTCCCTTTGAGCTAGGGCATCCCAGGGCCCTCCCAAGAAGTGGCACAAGCCCTGGTACTGGGGACCCTGACCTTCACTTCTCATGCTCTACTGTCCCTTCTCTGTGACACTCCTGGTCCCTTCCTTTGGGTGGCCTCGTGACCTCCCCATGTCCTGGTACTGGAATCTCCTCCCTCTCCCCATGTCCCCTGACCCAGGCATCCCCACAATCTGCCACTCTTATCACGTCCAGGGCTGCAGAGTGAGGGCCCAGTCCAAGAGAGCCGGGCGGCCGAAGAGGGCCTGGATCGGCAGCTGATCCTGGCTGTGGTGGGCTCCGTGTCTGCCACCTGCCTCACCATCCTGGCTGCCCTCTTAACCCTGGCATGCATCCGCAGAAGCTGCCTGCATCGGAGACGCACCTTCACCTACCAGTCCGGATCGGTCAGTGTCCCACACCCACTCCAGGGTAACACGTCCTTCCCTTCGTGTGTGTATTTCTTTTTTTTTGGAGAGGTTTTTGATAGAGGGTGATGTGCTTGCCAGAAAGACAGACAGACAGAAAGCGAGAAATCACTCCTCAGGGGGGTGGCTATGCCGCAATCCCTTTTCCTCCATTCTCCTCTTGGAATCTTGGGCATGCACGCACATGCACCCTGCGTGAGTTTAAACCACCGGGTCCAGAACTAGAACCACAGTTGACTACATGAGAGTCCAGTGACATAACCATTATGCCAACTGCTGGTCCCTTGTATGTGTATTTCTACAAGTACTACATGTATATACCGTGTGTACACAACATTGTATGTGTAAGACTGCACTCATCAATGCTCAGGGCTGCAAAATACCATCTCTATTGCTCTAAACCCAGTCATCTCATGAGCCACTTTCTGTCGTGGAGAAGTATTTAGTATTCCCAGTTCAGACCCATGTGTCCTCACATCTCCAGGCCAACTCTGGGCTTGGTCTCCATCAACTGGGGATAATTCTCCCTCCCCTGGTTCCCCCTCTCTATGTGCTCTATGTGTGATCTAGAGACGGCCCGGTGATATCACGCAGGGCACCCAGGCTTCATGCTGGCATCTGTCCTTGCAGGCCCTTCCAGCTTGGGAGCCTCCCCATCCGCACACATCTGTGGCTGACGTCCTCAGCCCTGCTGTGGCCTCCAGCCAACAGGCCATTCATGCTGCAAACTCCTCGTCCCAACCCCCATGCCTGCGAACCCAGGGCCTCCTGTGGGAGACTTAAGAACTCTGAGGTGCTTCCCTGTACCCTGTGGAAGGCAGAGCATTCTGTGTCCCTCAGACCCTCCACCACGACTCCTCCTATGGCCAGAACTGTGCCGGACCTTGGTCTCACCATTGCCCCTTGAGAAGCACAAGCTCCCTCTTCCTGACTTCCCTGTAAAGCTGAGTTTTCTGTCTTCCTGTGGTCCACACCCCTCCACACCCCAGGCCAACTCTCAGAGGTGGGGTGGGAGAGGGAGTGCAGCTCCTCTTCAGGCACTCAGGGGCACTTCATCTTGTCACATGCTCCCATCTTGCGTCCTACCTGCTGGTCCTGTCTGCTTGGAGATCTTCCCCACAGCTGCCACTCACCATCTGAAATCCACCATTTCTCCTCCAGGCCTGGGCTCTTGATATGTCAACAAACAAAAACAAAACAAAAAAGCCCTCTTTTCTCTCAAGGGCTGACCCTCATGAAAGAAGGCCTAGTGTCCAAGCCTGGTATCTCTGCCCTGCCTTTAAAACAAATCCATTCAGAGACTCAATGGGCTCCTTTGTTTGGGGCCACGTTCGCCTCCCTCTGAGGTCAGAGCACACAGAGGCTGTGCAGCTAGAGGGGGAGGGTAAGGGGTACGAATGTGGAGGGGGGAAGGGGAAAGCAGCTCTTAACATACATGTTACCATCATAAGTAGCAAGATACATCCTGCTACATGTGCCGGCCTGCAGACCTGGGTGCAGATGAATGTGAGTGCCACGTATGAGTCACGCCAATGGCCCCATGTGTGTATATGCATGTCCGTGATGTGTGTGCCCATGCACCTCCATGCCCGCATGTGTGCATATGTGTACCCGTGCATGGATGCATGGATGCACCCCCTGTGGTGCTGCCATAAGAACATGTGTGTGCATTCTGGTGTGTGCCTTCCCATCCATGGGTCGTGTGAGTCCACGTTACCCGTGTCCTCAGCTCGCGCACATTGAGCGAGGGCAGCCTCGCTTAGGGCGGCCCCCCAAGGTCTGTCTTCAGCCTCTTTCCAGCTGTGACTCAGCCATTCCTGTGGTCCCTTTCAGCTACTTCCTTTTCCTGCTACCCACCTTGGCCCGGTGGTCTACGTCCTACCCAGCTGAGGGAAGTGGACGTTCCTCTGTTATGGTCTTGCTGTCTGCGGGTCCTGGCCTAGTACGGAGTTGTGGAAAGACACCAAGAAGGTGGACAGGGGTAGTCTCTGCTTCTGCTTCTGTGCAGAAGCCCCCGCACGCACACACACACACACACACACACACAAATGCACACACACACACACACACACACACACACACACA